CATAAGGATGTTGTGAGGGACGGTGTCAAATATCTAGTCCGTGTAGGTCATCCAGGGGAGTGCTTTACTTGTACTTAATTGAAAGTATCCACATAAAAACCAAATGTGTTGTATTAGATGGTACTTAATTAAAGGAAAGAAACGTAGTGACATTGAGTTGTTCAAAGGTGAATGAGAGGAATTAATGCTAGAATTCAGGTACACTTTTCAATACTGAGGATGATTTCCAAGACAATAGTCTGTGTTGGTGGGGTGTGATGGCTCTTATTCCAGCAGAAGTTATCTCCAATTCAATGAGAAGCTGTGAATGTGAAATATTTATTGTCTTAAATTTGTGCTTATGATCAATCTTGATGTTTACAAGGTCAAAAATCATAGAATCATAGAATGGCCTAGGCTGGCAGGGACCTTAGAGATCATTTAATCCAACCTCCCTGTCATGGGCAGGGACGCCTCTCAACTAGATCAGGCTACTCAAGGCTCCGTCCAACTTGGCCTTGAACACCTCCAGGGAGGAGGCAACCACAACATCTCTGGGCAATTTATTCCAAAGTCTTGCCGCCCTTGTACTGAAGAATTTCTTCCTAAGATCTAATCTAAATCTATTCTCCTTCAACTTAAACCCATTTCCCCTTGTCCTATCAGTGGACACTCTTGTAAAAAGTCCCTCCCCAGCCTTCCTGTAGGTTCCCTTCAGGTATTGGAAGGCAGCTATTAGGTCCCCCCAAAGTCTTTTCTTTTCAAGACTGAACAATCCCAGGCACCTAACTATGCACAAGGACTGTGTATAGTTATGTGCCTGTTCTTTTGAATCTTTTAAAGACTGTTGATGTATTTTCTAATGCCTCATTTAAGTTGAAGGACCCCGGGTTGTTTTAAAACATTGAGTTCCTGAATACCTGCCCGACTTCAATAAAGTCAGTTGGTCACCTTAATCATGGAGTAAACGAATATCCAGTAGAATGCATATCACCTACATGAATAATATTCTGAGTTATCTGAATTTTTTTTTAACCACTCATCTATTATTTTTTGCATATTTTAGAAGTAATTTTCTCTCTTTTCTTTCGTTCCTGATGTGTTTTATAGCCACTTGTATTGCACCAAGACAGTAGCATCCTGGAATCTCGGGACCTACGTTTGGAAAAACGCACTTTATTTCGGTAAGAGTCAAAAACACTATCTTTCTCTGGCATTTTGCACTCCATTTTCTATTTTACTTTTTGTAAGTGCAAAAAGGTATGTTGTCAGTTACGTGTGCAGCAAAACAGGAGTTAATGCAGAAAAGACTTTTGTCTGAATCCAGTAAAAAGTCCAGTTAGCCAAGCAATGCAACATCTTAGATTGTAATCCCAAATCCAGCATTAGGAGATCTAAGGTTCCCATTCATTGTGCTGGCAGATTAGAAGAAATAGGCCCTAGTATCCAACAGAGAAGGAGGAAGGTGACCTAATGTTAGTAACTGAAAGTGACTGTCTTCTGTGTCTTGCAGTTGACTCATAGTTTGAGTTTCTATTGAAATAAAAGTCCATTTTTACTTTAGATTGCAGTAACGCTTACACAAGCGAGACGCATTTAGCTCGGGGATTCTCTGAATTACCCAGATGCCTAAATTAGATATCCTGCCTACATTTAGGAACTGATGTCCCTTAGATTTGGAGCCAGCTGCTAAGTGCTTCCTCTGTGGTTAATGGCGAGATTGGGGTAACTCTAGAAGGTAATTCAGGTGAGGGCAACCAGGATGAGGATCGGGGAAGAAATGTGGTCCTACGGGAATGTTTCAAAATGAGTAGAGCGGCATCTGGTGATTTTAAGTGCTGCAAGAATAAGCTTTCTGGTTTGCTGTCTTGGCTACAAGTGGGATTTTGATGCCAGGGCCATTTAAATACTATTATGATGTCTGACTGCTCAGTCTGAAGCAGTTGTGAACAAGCTTATGGGAAAGATTTGCAGGCCCAGAGGGACCTTCCACATCAGGAAGAGAAATATTTGGTAGTTTAAAGCAGCACAAGAGTTAGACGGAAGTTGAACTGCAAGTCTCCTAGTCTAATCCTAAATGCAACAATGAAAAATAAGCCTTAAAGATTAAATGGATATATTTATTGATTACATGTTCCCATTCAGTTACATCTGTAATTATGTGCCTGGCAGATTACAGTAAGACCAATTATATAAATATAAATTCATCCGAGTATAATTTTAGAACCCTGAATCTTAAATAATTCAATGTTGTATTAGTATTATAATATTAATATTAGTAATACAATTATTTATATGTAATAATAATTGTGGCATAATATAATTCAATAGATTATATATTTAGTATTATGTAATATTATTCTATATACATTTTTTTCCCAAAGTAATCTGTTTCTGTTTTTTTTTCCAATATGCCAGAAAATGTTTTAATGTTCCTAAATTTTAAAAAATGAAACTAGTGCTATGAAAACTTCTGAAGTAGTTATTTCAGGAAGAAGTCATGAATTAAAATGTTTGTGTTACATTATTGAGTTGCACTTTTGAAGTGAATAAGATTTATTTTGTCAGACATTCTTCCTTTTGGCTTTGTGTTACTTTTCTTTAGAAGGTAGGGCTAATTTCTATTTAAGGGCAGCTCAGATTAATGAATGTGGCGTAGTATATTAAAATCCAAATATGAGATTGAGCAGTCTTTTATTAGATGTGAGTTTGAGTTTCCAAATTAAAAAGGAACTTTAAGTAGGCAGTACCATATGTTACTTGTGTGTTAATTAAAATGTAGAAATGTTCTACATTATTTCCTTCTGTGGGTAGACATTGTGTAAGCAAAAATACTCAAATATTTGGAATATTTTCAGACATGAGACAAATACTATCTGGATATTCTTGCTTACCTGAGTGTCTGCCACTTTTGTGTTAGTTACCAGTTAATGATTCAAATTGATCATTTCCATTTAGTAGCTGTTGTATTCAAAGAAAATATGAGACAAAGTTTCAGTTATTCAGGTTTCCCGTGGAAAGGAAAAGTTGATAAGACTAATCATCTGATATTTAAGTAGTTTGTGTGAGAGAAAAGATGGAGTTTACATTTAATCATGACTGACAAAATTGCTAGTAGTTTTAATTCTTCTGATGGTGTACATTTCTTCTAATAGTTTTATTAGTAATAAGCCTGCTCTTGTTTTCATCTTCCAGTGCCATTATAGTGAAAATTAGCTGTTACAGAGGAATGAGGAACAGCAGTGTTTAGGTGGCATCTACCCAGAAACTAGCATCATCTGGAATTCCACTGTATTTGCTTCTGTGCTTAAAAAAAATTTTTAAAAAATCTTCTCCAAGCCCATCTCAAGTAATTGAATAGGACATTGTGATTCTCTCTTGCAGAAGGGTAAAGAACTATTTTTCTTGTGTCCAAGGCTATAGCTGTAGCACTCCTGGACCAGGATGGTCAGAGCAATCTCACTGTAAGGATGAGTGCTGTGGAATGCATCTGATTGGTCTGAGGATCACTGTGCAATTAGGTTGGATCATGCCTTCACTCAGCTCTGGTGAATGAAATTGTGGAAGTTTTATTTTTATGAAAAGTGCTTTTTACCTTCAGACTAGGATAGGTTTGTTGTAGCGAAGTCTCAGGGTCGCTAGAGGTGAACTAATCTGTAGACTGGTTTTCATGTATTTTGTGCATTTTGTTTATTGGAATAAATATTTCATACTTAATGGCGCAATTGATACTTTTCAGGCTGGATCTTGTTCCGATCAATCGATCAGTTGGTTTGAAGGCTAAACCCACCAAACCAGTAACAGAGGTCTTAAGGCCTGTAGTTGCAAAATATGGTTTAAATCTTAATGAACTTGTGGCAAGACTAGTAAGTATCTTTTGATGTAATTCAAGCTGTATTATTTTTTGTCTGGAGAAGATCATATGATAGTCCCTGAAAGTATTCTTATCCTTATAATTAGGCATTAAAATCTCTATTTATACCTACCTCTTGAGATGACAATGCATTGTAGTCATAACCATTATGCTTAATAGTACCTACCTCAAAGCTTTAGTCTGCATCTGGTTTGTATTCTCTTTCAAAATAAATCCAACATCCCAAGTAATAGAGCCTGAACATAGCTTTTTCCAGAGCTCAACTTTTCCAACTATTTGCCAGGAAAAGTTGGTGGAGCTAAGGTACAGATATTGTTCCATTATCCTGGAAATCATGTCGGTTGCCTTGAATCCCCTCACAGAAAATGTCTGTGGAAGCAGAGTGATTCGTCTCCTCTACCCCTAAACACCTGGCTAGCATTTTCTCTTTTCTAGTATGATGGAATATCAAGGAACGGAAAGTTATTTTGTGGTATTTCTAAAACATGTACTATCTTGGCTGAACCAGTCCATGTTTTTAAAATACCTGAAAAACATGTCGGCATAAAGATAACTTAATTGAAAAAAATTACAAAATTAACAAAATGTAACCAATTTAGAATATAAGACAATCTCAGTCTTCCTCTAAGGGTATGACTTGATGAACATACACAGTAATGGTCCTGAAGTATTTGTGCATGCTTGCAAATCAGTTAATTTTTTTCCTTTTATCTTCTTTTCCCCAAGTACCATTCTCCTCACATATATTGGTTACACTCATTGTAATCAAGGTAGTGTTACACAAATGGAATAAACATTTTTAGAATGGTAGAATAAAGCTATATTGAGGCTGCACTGGAACATAAAAATTCTTTGCTTGTTTTCTTTCAAAAAATGTCAGACTGCATAATTTTATTCTGAAACCAGTTTTTTCTCTATTATATACAAACTGTGATCCGACTTTAGAATGGTGAGCAGGAACCACTTGATCTTGGTGTCCCTATATCTAATCTGGATGGCCAGCGGGTTGTTCTAGATGAAAAAGAGCCAACAAAAGGTAGAGGTAAGTTGGCATAAAGGCTTTTATTTATGATGTCAAGTAAGTTTCATAAACCTTGGCTTTGCTAAGTTTCTTCTGTTGATGTGAAGATGAGATAAAAGTGATTAAATTTAAATATGTCACGTGTAGCATATATTCCTTTTAACTAAGAATGAGTGCAGTTTCTAAAGACTGAAGATTAAATGAGTCTCTTGATAGCAAGTACTATATTGTTGCTGTACAAAATTTTGCGCTGGTAATACTTGAATATTTTACTTTTACTTGGCAAAGACCCACGCACACATTTAGGGACATAGTGCCTAGCAATAATAATGAGAACAAAATGCCAAATAACTTAGATTAATTTGACAATTAAGTCATAAGAAACATACTCTTTAAGTAAAGCAAACATAGTCTGTGCAGCAGCTAGAACTCCCTTCTTTATCATGAGAAAGCAGAGCCTACATCTCCAGTTTTTAGTGATGATTACTGGAGATAACACTAAGGATGTACTATGTGACTTCCCTGGACAAAATAGTAGTTGATCAGCTGACAATCTTTTGGCATGATTAACACACTAGATTAATGCAAGCAGCCGTCAGAGTAAAGGTTTGGTTTCATTAGGAGACCTTTTGATAAATATAGGACACTTAGTTTTAGAAGTTAAATCAGAGGTGGTTAAATTAACTTGACTTAGAACAGAGATCCTCTTTGAGAAAGGAGAATAAAGATAACCAATTGTCATTTTGAAAAAAGGAATCACAGAATCACAGAATGTTAGGGGTTGGAAGGGACCACCCCCCCTGCCAGAGCAGGAT